CTTGCCATCTCATAAACATTAACTCTAATCAGCGGAAAGGATTTTATAGACAAAGTCGGGCAGGTTACAGTCGTCACCAGTGACATGTTGCTCTCAGCAGATGTAGCAATAACAAAGCGGAAATTCAGAGTAATCATTCCAAGTCTGTTTTTCTTCGTAATAAATCAGTTTTAGTTGCTGTATTAACTACAAACTTTGCGTGAATAACGTGAATTTTTTTTTTTTGTTTTTCGTTGCAATGATGCGAGGTCAGTTGTAATTATTATGGTTCCTTCAGGGTTTAAATTATACACGCCGACCGACAATGTAACCATTTTTCAGATGGTCTGACATTATCTAAGTGACATTTTAGTCCTTTTCATCATTTATACATCAGCTGATATTCTGTCGTCTCAATTTTCTGTATTCCAACTTATCTGATTTGTTTTTAACTCTTTATTTTTTAGATTAAATAAACTTCTTCTTTCCCGGTCCACACGTTTCAGTTCATATACTCAACCGACACTAATTTCTTTCATTGTAAATTAAAATTTTCAGCTCAATTGACTGCTCACACAGCCAAGCCTCATTTATTGTTCAGCGCACCCCCACCCCCACCCCCACCCAATAATCAACATGAAACACATTTGGATACTTTGGAAACTGTATAAAGTATAAAGCTGCCCTGTCCTCCATCATTTTTATAACAGTTCTCTGACCAATCAAAGCACACTGGGTTTTTTGGAGGTGGGTGGGGGGTGCTTCAGTAGTCTGCAATAATGGAAATATAACAAGTTGTTTAATATTAAAGTGGTTGTTCAAATAATGACTATATACTGTAGAGCATGACTAGTCAACTGGTGGCCCGGGGGCCAAATTAGGCCCACGGGTGAACTCAGTTCGGCCCATCAATGGGTTTATTTTTAAATAAAACTAGATTTTAAAACATAATATATGTTATGTTATATAATTTCCCTCTGGGATTAATAAAGTATTTTTGATTTGATTAATTGATTGATTGATAAAACAAACTTATTTAATCACAGTAACTGCTGGATGTCCGGCCTCTGAGTTCTCGGCTTTCAGTAACTGTGGCCCCCCTGAACTATTAAGTTGAATAGCCTTGAACCTTTAAGTGAATACTCTTAAACACGGGAAACAAACATGTCATGTCAGGTGTTCAAGTGATGTTGAAACTACATGCAGCAGCCTCCAGCGTTATTTTTTTAATGATTGTCAGCTGAGAACATGTTCTGCTGTGACATCTGACGCCGAGGTGAGAACATGACAAGATCGTCTGCATAGAAAATCTCTTTGTTTCTGTCATTCCAGTCCATGCTGCTGTCCGTGCACATCAAGCGTGAGGGAGAATCCCCGGTGGTCTCACCCCTGTCGTCTGAGGATGCCCACCACTCGGACAGATACCAGGTCACACCCGCACACACACACACACACACACACACACACACACACACACACACACAC